AAGTACTTCCTCTTTGACAGTGCAAGAAAAGAGCGGGGCAAAACCTTAAACTAGTTTCCTTTCTCCTTACGTTTCTGTTTACTCTGCAGTCAGCAAGAAACCGTTTGTGAGTTGATTTGGCAATCGCTTTCTGGGAATAATCCCTTAAAAAAATCAAAAATAATAATAATTTGATCACTCAATCCACGACTGTTTGTGGGACGCTGCTGTGCACAAGTGGCTGCCGCGTTTCGCCCACAAAATATACAGTCAATTCACTTTAGAGTATCTTCTGTGAGCGCTTTGAGACGTCTCGAAGACGTGATAAGGCGCTGTATCAAATGCAAGGATTATTATTGATTTGTGTTCATATAGGCGCCTTTCGCATCAGTTTCAGTTTTAGTTTCAGTAAAACGTCTGTGGATGTGGCAGTTTGGCTCACCTGATAGCGTCCTTGTCTCCAGCATAGACAGTCGTGTGTACGCACTAACCGGGTATTGACATAGAGACGTGAATTAAAAAATGTTTTAATTGAGCCCCAAAATATGAGGGATGCAACAAAATAGCGACAGGAAATCACACACCCTTCCAGGGAGATACATCTATACTAATCAAGACGAAATGTCTGCCTGTGCATTGAGACATCTCAAAGCGCTTCACAGTATATATTTAAAAAGGAAGTTTTTTAGGTTGGACTTGAAAAAGGGGAGAGAGGGGGTCAAGGCGGAGGGATTGAGGGAGAGTGTTCCAGAGTTTCGGGGCGTAGTGTTTTAAAGCTTGACCTCCACTGGTGGGGCAGACGTTCTTGAACTCGATTACGTTCGGTGATGGGGAGCCAGTGGGGCCTGGGCCAGAACTGGTGGGATGGGGGTACGGAGTTTGGTTGTGGTCAGCGTGCGGGCGGCAGAGTTCCGAATGAGCTGGATTTTTTGAAATGGAGCTGGGGAGACCAGCGAGGAGTGCGTTGGAGTAATTCAGGCGGGAGGTGGCAAACCCATGCACAAAGGTTTCGACTGTATTTGGTGTAAGGTACAGTCGGAGGCGGGCAATGTGGCGGAGGTGGAAGAAGGCAGTCCTGGTCAGGGACAGGATGTGGGAGAGGAAGAACGGCTGTGGGGTCGAACCAGACACTCAGTGAGTCTGAGGGAGAGCCCAGGGAGGTTGAGGAGTTTAGATTGTTGACCGAGGAGTATGGCTTCTGTCTTGACCAGCTGCAGGAAGTTTACATTCATCCAGACCCTGATGTCAGACGAGCTGATCAAACATCAGCAGACCTGGAGTTGGTACTGGAGGAGGAAAAGTAGAGTTGTGTGTCATCCGCATACATGTGGAAGTTTAGCCCATGTCTGCGGATGACATTGCCCAGAGGGATCCAGGAGGATGAGGAGGCAGAGGGAGCCCTGATCACAGATAGAGAGGACGTTGTATGTGACTTTGACAAACTGTCTCTGTGCTGTGGGCAGAGCAGGACACTGTGAGAAGTTCCCTACCCTTTTTTAATTGAGTCCTGGGATCTTTAAACACCCACTTCTAACAGGCAGATATAACCTTATGTTAACATCTAAAGGACATGTTTGATTGATCTCAGCTCCATGGCGATCGAATTCCTCACAGGTGTTATTTACCACAAAGTTCTGAGGTGTCTCAGGTTTCCCAGTGATTTTAATGGATAGTCTATGAGTTCCTCCTCTCTCCCACCGCAATACCAGGTAGTTATCTAAGGCCAAATGACACATTGGAGGCTCCTTAATACCACTATGAGCTCATCTCTCCCCACCCCTGCCTCAGGTTTCACCACGTCCGGGAATTTAAACCTGGTCCTAACCACTACGTTACAGGACTCCACATTGCTCCCCCCACAACAAGGACTTTGAGATCATATGGGCCAACACAACAGTGCAAGTAATTTAATTTACCCTGAGCTGTCCTTTCTCCCTCGTGTCCGCGCCACAACTGGCACCGCCTTCCATCACCTCCGGACTACGGCACTGCCTCACCCCTCACGCTGCTAAAACTCTGGTCCACGCCTTTATCACCTCAAGGCTGGACTACGGGAACTCTCTCCTCGCCGGCCTTCCCGCCACCTCCCTCCACACTGCAGGTCATTCAGAACTCTGCAGCTCGTGTACTGTCCCGCACCAGGCTTCGGGACCACATCACTCCCACCCTCGCTCGCCTCCACTGGCTCCCCATCCCCCAGAGGATCGAATTCAAGATCCTCATCCTCACCTACAAGGCCATTCACGGCCTCGCTCCCTCCTACCTCTCCGACCTACTATCCCCCTACTTACCTGCCCGTACCCTCCGTTCCTCTGGCTCCGGTCTGCTCCACATCCCCCGCCCCAACCGCCCTACCATCGGTGGCCAGGCCTTCAGCCTCTCAGCCCCCAGGCTCTGGAACTCCATCCCCCAGTGCCTTCACCGCCTCCTCCCTTTCCTCCTTCAAGGCTGGTCTCAAGACCTTTCTCTTTGACCGTGCCTTCAGCTCCCCTCTCGACTCTTGACCCCCTCCTCACTCCCTCCCTTCCCTCACCCTGACCATTTCCCCCCCAATGCTCGGATCCTGACCCAACAGTACAGTGCCTTGGGATGTCCTCCTGACGTGAAAGGCGCTCTGTAAGTGGAATCTTGTTGTTGTTGTTGTTGTACTTGGTAGCTGCTTGCAACGCCATTGCTGTGTGCAAATTGGCTTCCACATTGTCTTACCAAATACACTGCACTTTACAGTAAATCGTTTGAAACACTTTGACGTATAAACCGCTGTGTCAAGCGCAAGGTTCATTATACAGCATTATGAAATCCTGTGAAAAGCGGTTTGAGATGTTCTCCCAATGTGAAAGGCGCTCTATCAAATTACTTAAGGAGCAATATTGTTTTTTAACCGCACAGTGTTGTGTGGAGAGGATAATAATCGTTGCATTTGATATAGCGCCTTATCACCTCGTTGACACATTACAAAGCGCTTTGCAGAATATATGGCAAAGTGAATTGACTGTGTATTTTGTGTTGGCGAACGTGGCAGCAAATTGCACACAGCAGTAGTGCCTCACAGAGTGTGGTTTAGCTGCAAAGTTGCCCCCACCTCCCCTTTTTCAAGTCCTGCCTTAAAACCTTCCTTTTCGACCGTGCTTACTGTGACTTCAACCCCCCCCTCCAACCCCCAGCTCGGAGTCAGCCCCCGCCATTGTTAAGCGGTCTGAGACTCTATATGAGTGCAAGTTGTTCCTGTTGCTGTATCCAATACAACAAATGCCAATGTCATGCCTTCTGTTAGCTTCTCTATGCATTTTTTCTGCAATGCTTTATCTATTCTGTCTTAACTTCCTCTTGCAAAATCAGGTGGTAGTCCACTGCAAAGTCCTGTGGTGGCTTAGTTCCCTTTCTGTCAACTGCCTCAGTACTTCTCCCTCTCTGCCTTGTGTTCGCTTGACTGCAAACTGGGCATCGCTTCCCAAATGCTTTGCGTTGACCACAGTGACCCTGCGCTAGGAAGGTGTGTAATTATCTGGTTGTGCGTGTGTGAATCAGCCAGATTTTCCACTGCAGGTGCTATAAATATCCAATAAATAATCATTGCATTTGCGGAGTCCTGTTACAGTTGCCTTGCCAGTGAGGGGCCCGGGTTTGATTCACGGCGCAGTGAAACCTTAGGCACGTTTCTTTATTCCACACGCCTCCGTTTACCTAGCAGCAAATAGCCATCTGATTGATAGTCGATTGGCAGATTGCTTTCTAGAGGTTTATAATCCTGAAAAAATGTGGTCACTCAATCCAAGACTGTTTGTGGGACACTGCTGTACGTAATTGGCTGCCCCCAAAATATGCAATCAATTCACTTTACGGTATATGAGACATCTCAGCCATGTTATAAGGCGCTGTATCAAACGCAAAGATGATTATTGTTATACAACGACTGTGACATTGAAACACCTGAAAGCATTTTACAGCGCTTACTGTGAAGTATAGTGACTGTGTTCCCCGACTGTCCAGCGCCTTGGGACGTCCTCCCGACGTGAAAGGCGCCCTATAAATGGAATCTTGTTGTTGTTGTTGCTGCTGCTGCTTATGCGAAAGACGCTATACGAATGTGATTTGTTGTTGTTGTCGGGGATTGGTGTTTTTTTTATGGTCTGCCACGTGCGGAAACCCATCGCCGGGCTTATGAGTATCCAAACCAGACTGAGAGTTCCATGTATAGCCACTTTATGGAAATATCCTTGTGTGTGGAATGGAATGCGCACGTGGAGACACGTATCAGCCGGTTACATTCGAGACGTACAGTACTGACCTTTTTTTTTCCAGCCTCCCTATAACCTGCCAATTCCTCCCTCTCTTACTCCTGCTTTTTTTTCTGATCTACATTTTTTTCCACGAGAAAACCAGTAGGTGAAACCAGATCAATGTCATTCAATCTCTCTCCGCGCAGTGCAAAGGTTTCAATTGGTCACACCTGAAATCAACATTGAAATTAACACTAAGCAAAGAAGGGTTGGGGTAGAGGGAGAGGCGGAAAAAGAGGGACCAAGGTGTAAGAACAAATCCACCGCTTTTACCTTAAGTTAATATAACATCGCAACTCAATCAGCGCTAAAATATGAATTAATAATCTTTAATATCACAGTTTAATCTACTTCCTAAAAAGAGGGACTTTCCTCATCACATACACACAGAGACACACACACACAGTCTTGCAAAAAGTTTACAATAAGTTGTTTCTTTTCCTTTTTTTCCAATGTAATCCTGGACAACAAGATGTGAGTCATTGAAGATCATGAGCTTTTGGTCTCTGATGTTATTTGCAGTGTGTGTTTTAGGCAAAAAAAAATGTTATACAACATTCCTTCCCAAAGTCTGGAAAGAAGATTGTTAAGAGAATATTAACAGGTATTACTTTACCATTCATCCCATTGACTGACTAAAGCCACGCCAGCCCTTTCCAACTAAACCAATCCTCAATGTGAGAGCAGAATAAATTAGTCAAATATCTATCTGCCGATTAGTCGGGTGATTTAAGGAAATCTATTTAAAAAGCCAATCGCTGGCTATCACACCAAAGTTTGTAGTGCATCCATGGAAGGGGGGACAGATGGTTCATAAAGTTTATTGAGACTTTTTGGACTGACTGTGAGATTTAAGGCAGAGAGACAGACAGAGAGAGAGAGAGAGAGAGGGGGAACATCACATAGCATTACACAGGAGAAAGGGCATTTTTCTAACATCGTTGTGGCTTTAAAGCACTTTCACTTGAATGGAGAGGGGAATGAAAGGTCTGAACGTGCTGCTGTGTCTGATGTGCTCAATGCAAACCAGCTCAACCCAGGTCGATCCTTTCACACAACTTCCTGGTAAGAGAGAGAGAGAGAGTGAGAGTGAGAAAAGCTGATTTGTTCTTAATTGTACTAAGTTATCCATCAGTTTAGTTTGTCTCTGGGGTGTCTTTGCTCAATTGGCTGCTGAAGCTTAAATACCCACATTTAGTCAAGTTTCACTAACTATTTTTGTCTTCTTATCTCTTTCCCCCCACCCCACCCCCACTCTCTCTCATTTATTTTCCGCGTATTTTAATTGCACTTAAAGTGGAAAGGGATTTAACAATAATGCCGATGATCCTCGCGTCTGACACAGCATCTTGTCGCGTCGTTGAGACGTCTCAAAGCGCTTCACGGAATACACTGTAAAGCGGAGTGACTGTGTGTTTTGTGGGTGAAATTTTTGTATTGTGTGTATTTCATATTGAAAAAAAGTAAGGGATTTTTTTTGTTCGGGTGGGTGGGTGGGTGGGTGGGAGGAAGGTGAGTGTCTGCGATGCTACCCTTACAGGAAGGGCGCTCTGTGTAAGTGCAAGTTGTCGTCGTCGTGTGCAAATTTATGCACCGAATCCCAAACTCCGAGAGACTGAAAAGGTTTCATTCATTGATCAGTTGCAGCTGTGGTCTGGCTCCTTATCGTCCAATGTCACGCTTTTGCTCCCTCAAAGTCAATGTGTGGAAATGCGATGTATGATGACCCTGACAAGTCTCGTGCGACTGCCTCTGTAACTGATTACTTCAGCTCTGCTTAAAGTTTAAAGCGAATACTCGGCAATCCTGAATTTATTGTTTCTTTTCCAGAAAAAACACAAAGCCTTGAAGGTTTTCTAAACTAACATTTTTTTTTTGGGGGGGGGGGAGAGGGGGGAGCATTCCCGTGGATTTTCTTTTGAAATGCGTACTGTGGAGGGCATTACAAGGCTATCAATAGCAATGAGATCAATTTAGAGATAATATTCGATAATCATGATATTTTAGAAAATGTTCTAACTTTAATCTCTTAAATGATCTGGTTGTACATTGTGGTTGTTGCTGTTAATATTGCACCAGAAAGATTGAAACATCGCAGAAGTTTCACAGTTTATCTCTGGAATTTCCTCGTGTAGATCGGATGCATGGAATTCTCAATATGGTTTGGATACTCTGAAGTACGGTGATGGGTTTCCGCATGTGACGGAGACCCGGCCGACCAAAACAAATAATTATGTGAGGGTTTTGTGTGTGTGTGTGTGTGTACATGGTTGTTTGTGGTGGTGGCGTGGTTGGGCGTGTGTGGGTGAGGTGTATTTGTGTATGTTGTATGGGAGTGTGTGGTATAATAATAATAATAATCCTTGCATTTGATATAGCGCTTTTCACGTCGGGAGGACGTCCCAAAGCGCTTCACAGAACACACTGTAAAGTGAATTGACTGTATATTGTGGGGGGGGTGTGTGATGTGTAGGTTGAAAATGACCAATTTAATTATTGTTTTTAGTTGTGGGGGTGTGTGTGGTGCGTGTGGGGGTGTGTGTGGTGCGTATGGGGGTGTGTGTGGTGCGTATGGGGTGTGTGTGGTGCGTATGGGGGTGTGTGTGGTGCGTATGGGGGGGTGTGTGTGGTGCGTATGGGGGTGTGTGTGGTGCGTATGGGGGGTGTGTGTGGTGCGTATGGGGGGTGTGTGTGTGGTGCGTATGGGGGGTGTGTGTGTGGTGCGTATGGGGGTGTGTGTGTGGTGCGGATGGGGGGTGTGTGTGGTGCGGATGGGGGGTGTGTGTGGTGCGGATGGGGGGGTGTGTGTGGTGCGGATGGGGGGTGTGTGGTGCGGATGGGGGGTGTGTGTGGTGCGGATGGGGGGGTGTGTGTGGTGCGGATGGGGGGGTGTGTGTGGTGCGGATGGGGGGGTGTGTGTGGTGCGGATGGGGGGGTGTGTGTGGTGCGGATGGGGGGGTGTGTGTGGTGCGGATGGGGGGTGTGTGTGGTGCGGATGGGGGGTGTGTGTGGTGCGGATGGGGGGGTGTGTGTGGGTGCGGATGGGGGGTGTGTGTGGTGCGGATGGGGGGTGTGTGTGGTGCGGATGGGGGGGTGTGTGTGGTGCGGATGGGGGGGTGTGTGTGGTGCGGATGGGGGGGTGTGTGTGGTGCGGATGGGGGGGTGTGTGTGGTGCGGATGGGGGGTGTGTGTGGTGCGGATGGGGGGGTGTGGTGGGGATGGGGGGTGTGTGTGGTGCGGATGGGGGGGTGTGTGTGGTGCGGATGGGGGGTGTGTGTGGTGCGGATGGGGGGGTGTGTGTGGTGCGGATGGGGGGGTGTGTGTGGTGCGGATGGGGGGGTGTGTGTGGTGCGGATGGGGGGGGGTGTGTGTGTGTGCGGATGGGGGGGTGTGTGTGGTGCGGATGGGGGGGTGTGTGTGGTGCGGATGGGGGGTGTGTGTGGTGCGGATGGGGGGGTGTGTGTGGTGCGGATGGGGGGTGTGTGTGGTGCGGATGGGGGGGTGTGTGTGGTGCGGATGGGGGGGTGGTGTGTGGTGCGGATGGGGGGGGTGTGTGTGGTGCGGATGGGGGGTGTGTGTGGTGCGGATGGGGGGGTGTGTGTGGTGCGGATGGGGGGGTGTGTCTGGTGCGCATGGGGGGGTGTGTCTGGTGCGCATGGGGGGGTGTGTGTGGTGCGCATGGGGGGGTGTGTGTGGTGCGCATGGGGGGGTGTGTGTGGTGCGTATGGGGGGGTGTGCATGTGTTAGCCCGCATTCTCTGTACCCCGACTACTCCAGTCCTGGCCAAACTCCACTGACTTCTGTCACAGAGTAGATCCGCTTCGAGATCCTCACTGTAGTGTTTAAATCCCTCCATTCCTTGCCATCCCCCCACCCGTCCCCCCATCTCTCCAACTTCCTCTCTCCCCACAGCAGTATCCGTTGCCTCCGCTCTTCTAGGTTCGTTCCCTGAATCCTCCGCACCATCATCGACGGCCACTACGCCCCGATACTTTGGAACACCCTCCCTCAACCCCTTCTCCTCGCCCCATCCTTCACCATCTTCAGGTCACCTTTCCCCTCCGCCTGGCTCAGCCTTGGGCTCCGCCATCGTTAAGCGCTCTGAGACGCCTCCCAGCATGGAGGCCGCTACATAAGTGTAAGTTGGTGTGGGTGTTGTTTGTTATGCGTGTGTGGGCGCACATTTTGTATGTTGTGCGCGTGTGTGTGTGTGTGTGGGCGCCCGCGTTGTATGTTGTGCGTGAATGTGGGCGCGCGTGTTGTATGTTGTGCATGCATGTGTAGGCGCGCTTGTTGTATGTTGCGGCCGATTGTGTGGGCACGCGTGCTGTAAGTTGTGCGCGCGCGTGTGGGCGCGCGTGTTGTATATTGTGCGCGCGTGTTTGTGCGCGCGTGTTGTATGTTGTGTGTGCTTTGTGGGCATGTTATGTGTGCCTGTTGTGTGTTGTGTGCATATTGTATGTTGTGTGTGTGTGTGTGCATGTTGTGAGTGTGTGTGTACGTTGTGGATGTATGGTGTGTGTATGGTGTGTGTTTGGGTGTATGGTGTGGGTGGGTATATGGTGTGTTATTCAAAGACCGGGATGCTTCTGTGAAAGAAACTTTTAAAAATGTCCTGCCCGGTTCCTGGCCTGTGTTGGAGATGGTTATAATTTGACTCGCATGTAATTTAATACATGTGACCATATTTATGTGACTATAATAAGCCGGCAGAGATTTTGTTGGGAAACTATAATCTTTTCAATTCTAGGGATCTGGAATTAGTTGAAATGAGGAGATTCACTTAACCACATCCCACCACCCCCTCCTCCCCCCCCCCCCCCCCCCCCGCACGCACACACACACACACCATCCATAACCGGTGACTTTTCGCAGGAACTGCTCGCCAGATGACGTTTTTTCTGAAAAGTTCAGATAGATAATCCCAGTAAAATCTTTAAAGTCTGTGCTTTTGCACTTTAAACAGCAGATGGTGCCATAATGTCAACAAGGAAATCTGGATCCACTACGCATGTGTAATATCTAATAAAGATGAAACGTGTGTCTGTGTGTGTGGTGTGTGTGTGTGTCTCTGTCCACCAAGAACGCAATAAACCTATTGACAAGGCATGATTTATACCTCATCGGAAAGGTCTTGCAAGGGGGAGAGACATGGGCATATTTTCAGGGATCTATATTGATGAGTTATATTAAAAAATATATATTCCAAGAAATACTTTAATTGAGCCCCCCCCACCCCAAAATGTATGCGGGGTGTTCTACAACAAAGTGGCGTCAGAGGAAAGCACACACACACTTCTAGAGAGATACTATATTAATATATTCCGCGACTACATTGAACAAGGACTGAAAAACATTGTGGTGGATGAACGCACCAGCTCGCACGCACGTGCCTTTGAGTCTCTGGACGGGACACTTCAGGACATCAGGGAAAATGCCCAGATGATGGGAGGGATGACATCTATCTTGTCAGGAGACACTAGCGGTCGTACAGTGTGGTGCTCGTGCTGATGAACTCAATGCCACTCTTAAGGCTTCCAGGCTGTGGGCGTGTGGGGAAAAGAAGAGTCTCAGAACAAACATGCAAGTCCATCTTCCTGGCAGTTTCACATCTGGAGCAATACATATGCCGACCTTCTGGAAATTGGGGATGGCAAGATTCCAGTGGATCCAGCAGATGGCCGAATGCAAATTCCTCCGAGGTTGTGGAATCAACAAGATGTAGCAGAACTCCAAAACAAAGTTTTCCTGAACCTCAGCCATAACTAAGTAAATCATAAGTGACTGTTTGAGCGAGCCATCCTTGTTCAAAAAAAATGAGTCTGCCAGCAAGATTAATTCCCAGCAAAATTAATTCCCGGCTACTAAATGACACCCCTGGCCAAGAAACTGTGTATTAGTCGATTAGATACTGTTCGTGACGTCGAAAATGCTGTCAACTATCCAACTGAGTGTTTAAACTCTTTGGAACCATCCAGCATGACTGCACACAAACCCGTACTGAAGCTTCGATGCATAATCATGCTGCTGAGGAATCTAGATGCACCGAAGCTATGCAACGGCAC